CCCCGGTTTTAACTACTTTATTTGCATAGCTAGTAATATAGATGCTAATAACAGGCAATAAGTAGAAATAAAAAATAAAAATGGAGAGGCTATCTTGAGCTTCGTATAGCATACTTTTAAACACCTGAATAATATAAATTTTCGGATTGGTTGGATTGTGTGCCTTCAAGCCTTCTCTCTTGGACATGATACTTACAGGAAGTAGTCGGTTGGGAGGGATTTATATTTCTACTAACGGGGTCTGTACACTGTGGCAGTTAGTTTATCTTCTGATTGTCCATTAACAACATGCAGAAGATAGATGAAATGCGGGTAGAATTAAAGAATTTTCAAGAGCCGCAACAATCTTTCCTTAAATGTCAAGTTTCGTTAGTTGAGTCCAGGACCATGGTTGAATAATATGTGCGTGTGGGGGGGGGGGGGGGAGGCAGGGGGCACACTCATCATTTTTGACTCAAATTTAAAGTTCATAGCTGCAGTGTTGGTAAAAGCTATACCACAGATTAGGAGATTCGCCTTGCTTTCACAGTGTTGTAGTACAGGCCAAATCGCGAAGGTGTGTGCCTCATATCCTGTGGGCTCTATCTTGAGGAGGATTACTCTAATAATAAATGAAGCTAGCAAAGCAATATATAAATTGTACATTATGATGATTTTATTACGATTAGAAAAAGGAAGTTAGAAAAGAAAACTTGTCTGTAAACCTCAATTTAAGACGTAAAACTGAACTTTTGCTATGGATCAGAAATTCTGAATGATTCGTGAATGTGATTTATATGTTTTTGCTTCTTGTATTCCACATATTTGTAGTTTTTTTTGGATTTCTCTATACACATATTTATTGTCTGTGTTAATAGTTATTTTTTCATGCATTGCATATATGATCCCCCCCCTTCCATTCTTCGGTAAGTCCGTCCTTCAATTTCATTTATGATTTACCCTTAAAGCCCAAGACTTTTCTATGCTTTTCATCTTTGACAAAACTGTAGTTGGAGAAGTTCCCTTTTGGTGAAATCACAAAATTTTAGAAAGGATTTAAGTGAGAAAGTGAAAGGTTTCCCCCTTTTGGGTTTAAAGGGTCCTGCCTTCCCTGAGGCCTGAACAGGGTTCCTCAATGTTTGTAAAAAATGGTATTGCTATTTTAACTTCTCCATAAAGAATAATATTATAATACTGTGTGCGGACAAGTGCAGCTAGTGGTTTTGTTAGAACAACCTTTCTTCTGAAGCTGGAAGGCATTACATTCTTTTCTTTTGCAACTAAATCCAGCTATTTTGGTTTGATTTAATAACATTTAGCTGTTCATTCTTCTTTTACTTTTTCCTTGTGGCAGAAAAAGGAGATTGGAAAGCGCAGAAAAGATGATCATAACTCAAGGAAAAATAAAGACAAAAAGGTATTACAGTTTTCTGGGTTGCATAGTTGTCAGTTTTTTTTTTTTTCCCAAGCCTACTAAAATATGAGGGTGTTTTCTGTCATTGTGTCTCTGTTGAACTTTCTACCGACTTTTGTGTGCTACAGTATAGACCCATATGCAGCCATGTCCATATCAACGTGGAGAGGTCATTGGTTTCATTTTTGTCATTTACCTGCAAGTATTAAGTGTGTCTTTGTCGACTGTAGACTGACTGCTGTACGTTACAGTATAGACCCACATGTTGCCATGCCCATATCACTGTGAAGAGGTCATTGATTTCATTTTTTCATTTAACTGTTGAAGTATTATGCATCATAAAAAACTATTTAAGTATAATATTGATGACAGAATATTAAATTCATCGCCTCCCTTGAATGGGCAAAAACTGGGATATTTATTTGTATAATATGAAACTTAGATGTTCACAAGCAAATGGATTACTGGCATTTTTGGTTTACATTTTTTAAAAGCTACCTCAGTATTGCTTCCTGATATTTTGCCGCTCTTCTGGTATGCAATCTGCAATTCCCTTCAACTTAGCTGTCCTGGTCATTCCTTACTGCGATTCTCTCTTTGAGCACTAATATATACGCCCCAGGTCCAATGAATTCCTATATTCTATTTGTATTTTCTCAGTCATGTCAGCTTTTCCATGGGAGAAGTTCGTCGCAAGGCTCTTCAGTACCTTACAATATTCTGTCAAGAAAGGTTTATTGGTTCGCCGTTTAATCTTAAAGTAAGTTCAAAAGTCATCTTTATCTCCACATGTGACCCACTTCTGTTTAAACACGATAAAACTGTTACCTTAATACCTATGCTCTAGCAACCAAGGGTTTGACCTAGTGGCTAATGAAGTGGGTTTAAATCTTGGAGGCCAGGGTTCACTTCCTAGCAGACACACAAAACACGAGGTGATTTCTTCTCATCTGCTTAAACTTTGGTGAGCAGAGTTACTCGGTACCTAAGTTGATGGGAGGTAGCAGATTATTGATGGAATAATCAAGGTGTGCACAAGCTGCCTGGACACCCCTTTATTCCAAAAAAGAAGAAAAATAAAAATACCTATGCTCTATCAAAGTAGGCCATTGTAATTGGGACAGAGAGAATTGAAGAGGCCCTAGTCTCTCTGTTTCTTTGTTTCAAAAATGTCTTTACCATGTCGCTTTGTGGGAACTAAGGTAGCAATTAGCTTTATCTTCTAAATGGTGCGGAAATCCTTAGGAGTTGAGGACAGAAGTAGAAAATTGATTGCAGCAGCCAGTTGTACTACTAGCTTGTATGTGGTAGGCTTTGTGGATGAATAAGTAGAGGGTGAAAGGAATGATCTTATTATTTGAAATTGAAATGTGGAAATGCACAATTCTAGACTGTTGGATGAGCTTGATTTAGGAGTTCCCCCTTGACTTTGTGCACAGGAGAAAAAGTATGATGGTGCTTGCTTCGCCAGGAAAAAAGAAGAAGGTTTCGCTGGACTTACAGTACATTTTTGGTTAAAGGATAAAAGAAGGAAGGGAAGGAGGATGTGCAGATAAAAAGAGAGGAGTGGGAGGAAAAAAGGAGAAAATGTCTATATCAGTATGAGAGAAAAAGAAAGAGAATTCACATCATTAGACATTGATATCCTTAATATATGTTTACTTTTTGATCATATTCTGGAGCTCCATTTGGCATTGTAGAAAACATTACTAAAAGATATTAGGTCCCTTCCCACTTTTTGTTTCAAGTCGACCCACCCAAGAAAACAATCACAGTCAAAAGGGGAATCTTCTAATTGTTTTCTTCTTAAGTGCTGCTGCTTAGTGAGTGAAGGATCATTTTGTTCTGCAACGGGTTTTAGGTTTGCCAAGTATGTTTCAAGATCAGTGTCAGATTGAAACAATCCAAAAAAAAAAAAGAAAAAAGGATCAGTGTCAGATTGAAAAGAAATCTCTGCAAATATCATGACCAGCTGGATGGTTCTCCCCGTACCAAAAATGAAACGTGTAAATAGCGCTGGACTTGAGCCTCTTAACATCCATCCCCTTTATTTGTGATGTTCTTCTTTCTCTTTCCATCCAAATACAGAAGAATAGCTCTTGATATCTACCTCTTTGGCCAGCAAATAATACTGGTGAGATGTCACTCAATTCCTCCAGACTTGGGCAACTTTCTCATTCCCACACACTAACACAAAAAGAAGGTTCTATATCTCAATAAACCAGTCATAATGGAGGAGAGATGGTCCACTGTTTCTGCAGCTTTCTTGCACAACATACAATTAGCACTAGTTCTTTTCCTCTCTCCGAAGTTGTCACCTGTAAGGGGACTTCGAAAGCAAAAATAGGACGCTTTCCTTGGTCCTTTACTTTTCCAATTATTTTCAAATGAAAAATTGTCTCGTCTGTGCTGCTAAGGGCATGATACTGAGACTTCAGAAAACCGCTGCTACGCCTTTTTGACTAAGCAGGATTCAGCTCCTCAATGAGCTTGAAAAAGAAAGAGGAAATAATGGATTCCACCTCCCAGCTTATGCTATCCTTCGAAAACAGTAACGGATGTGAGTCACATTATGTGAAAAGTGACAACTGCATTTTGAAATACAAAAATTTCCGGTTGTCCTTATTTCTTCTATACTGGTATCTCACTGATACGTCCTCCCCCCTCCCTTTCGGAAGGAGGCCACGGTATCTTACTGATGGCTCTCCGCCCCCTTCGAAGGATTCTTTTTTTGCCTTCCATCCTTCAGCTTTTAAGGTCAAAATTCTCGTTTTGATGTTGGATCGATCTCATTAGATAATATGTCTAGGTACTTGGGGCGCAAAAAACTGTACAGATCCACAAAAAAACACACAGACACACACACTCTTTCTCTCTCTATCTCACATACACACACACACACACACAGAGATTCATACTCTACATGCACACATGTCCAACTGGACAAAAAATACATTTTTGCTCTCAGGAAAATCCTATTATATACTATATACTTGCATCTGTTATATGGAGATTTGGTGGGCACGTAGAGAGAAACTATCAGTAACATGAGAACCCTTTAGTATGAAAATGCACGACCTTAAGGTTTGCTCAAAGTCTTTCAAACCATTATTACATCAATGTAATAGGAATTGCTGGTCGATGTCCAATTAACTTGCAAAGCATTGTAGTTTTAGTGGGTTCTTACTCCATTTGCTCCTCTAGCTTTAAGTCACCTTCACTTCCAAATATTAGTGTGATTAAAGCCAGATTTCATACCGTAGTCCATACTATCTACATGTAGATATTCCATCAATGCTCATTTTTGACATGTGATGTTTGGTCATAAAGAAAACTACATAGCGGTACAAGTTTCTTCTTGAAGTCATATCATGACCTTTCCTCTTCAATTTGGTTTGCAGTTTGTAAGTTTTGATGATTGAGAAAAATGGAAGGGCTGTTGCCAATTTCATGTTTCTTGATATACGAATCCGCTGGTGCTTCAGTGCTTGTCAGGGCTATTTCCTTTATCTAAGCTTTCATTAGGTAGGACAGCCCAAAAGCTGGGGGTTTTAAAGTGTTGTTGACTTAATTTCTGAGGAAGAAATGACTCGCGCCTTTAGCAAAGTCCCCATTAAATGCAAAGGGTATATCCGCCTTCTTAGACTGCTATGGACCTACAGTTTCTTTTCAATTCCAGATTCTAAGTCCTCTTTGAGTGCGTAGGGCTTATGAGCATCTCTGGACTGTTGTGCATCCATGATTTCTCATCAACTCCAGATTCTCTTCGACAGCTTGGTGGAATAATTTGAGATTCATTGCTCAAATTACTTGTGGATCGACCAGTGTTATCAAAGGCGAAAAGCGGAAAAAAGCTCGAAGGTTCGTTGGGGCTTTAAGCGCGAAGCGCAAATAAAGCGTGGGATTTAATGAAAAAAGGCGCAACTGGAGAAAAAGTAAAAATATGTATATGTAGTTCGAGACTAATAATTTTAAGCATGAATAACAAATATATGGACAAAGAAATTGGAAAAAAATATACGATAAAGTGAAATATCAATTGTTTAATGTCGCCTTTTCATGATTACAATCATTGGCAAGGAATAGTATGCGTTAGAGCCTTGATGCGATACTAAAGCGCCCACAAAGCGAGGCAAAGCACCCAACATGTTTTGAGCCTCGCTTCAGGGCTTAAGCGCGCCTTTGACAACACTGGGATCGACTAGTTTTTTCCAAACACCTGAGAGAAATATTTACTTGCAACTGAGCTACGCCTTCTTGGAAAATATTATTCTTATTTGGTACTATTTTAATAAGGCAGTCCTGTGCAGTTTTGTCAATAATAATTCTTTGTCATGCTTCCCTTGTTTTTGGTTTTAGGAAAAAGTTACAGATTCTGTGCAAAAATCTAGCCATGTTGCTAATCGTGCAAATGGTCCTCCCTATGCTCAATCTGTTATGTCAATGGACAGTGATGATGGAATTTCCTACAAAGGTTGGTTCTTATTCACACTTCTGGCTTTACATTTAAAATTGAGTGAAATCCCATGTTCTTGAGAGTCTTGCTTTTCTGTGTGAGAGTCTAGAGACATGCCTGGTATTGGACTTAAAGGAAAGTTTACATAATTGGAAAGATGAAATGGATAGAGAGGATGATTAACACATAACCTTTTGTCTGCTACATGCATAATCCGAGATTATCATGTCTGGCATTAGTTGTGCGTGTTGCTTGATGCGTCAATGTGCATGTGTTAGACTTTAGAAGCAATCCTTTTCTTTCTTCCAGAAGGTATTTTTGTATATAAGTTTCATCCCGAGATTATACCTCTTCTCAGATTTGCTTAAAGTTGAAAAGCTAGACTGGTGGAGATGTGAAAATCAATAGCTTGATTATCAAATTTTCATCTGTTTTCCAATAAAAGTGCGAAGTTCCTAATTTTATTGACATGTCTAATGGTCCGGCCAATTTATTAGTTCTGAAAATTGACGCTAATCAAGAACTTTGAACTCCAATTCTTAATGGAATCCATTTGAACTTCTGTTGTGCGAAGGTGATCCAATTGTTTTCATAATTCACGATTAGCTGAAGTTTGTAATATTGGAAATAATATGATCAGGAATGCTCTTTATCACTTTGGAAGAGCTAGTCCCTCGGTGAATGCACAGAGGATATCATTTAGTATGGAGAATAACAAGAAAAAGATTTCTCTTTTTCCTACGGAAATTAATTTACAAGTCAAGAGGAATGTAGCATAGAAGATGTCATGTAGTATGTAAATGATGTCATGTAGCATGGAGATATCTACTGTCCTCCGTGGATTAATCAAGGAACGCTCTTTTTCCCTTTGCACTTATAATCGTAACAATCAATAGATTCAAAATAGAAAAATGGCGAAAAGGAGCAGTCAGTATTACTGTTTTGATATGAAACTGTAAAGACTTTGCATATCTTCTGAGTTTCTTTCCTTCTCTTGTATCTTTTTGTGGAAATTTCTGAGTGTGTGAATCTTGTAACTTTTGCAGCCATTGGTGGTACCACTGGACAGCTTCTTGAGCAAAATGCTCAGGCCTTGGATCAAATATCTGCAAATTTTGCTGTTTTTAAGGTCAGATGACGGTTCTTTACAATTTCATTTCCGCTGCCTCACCTCCGTTTCTTTGTGAGAGATGACAAAAATGGTGTTGGATCAAATACGTGAACAAACCATACGAGTCATTTTCTGTTTTTTCTTTTACTCCCTTGACCAAGTATATATGATATAACTGAAATGGAAGTGGAGTTTAGAGGAAATTTGACTGAACAAGAAATATGTTAAAAAATATAATTGGTGATTTATTAAGATGGTGAAAACATCAATCATACGAGTTCAATTGTTTAAATGAACTTTAGTTCTGAAAGAAGTGAGAATTGCACAAAGTCATGTCTAACATTTCGAGATGTACCAGAAAGTTTCGTATAAAATGGGATGGAAGGAATAGTATTTCCATAAAAACTGAGAATATTTACCTCTATTCTGTTTTTTATATGAACATTACTTTACCCTTCTTGACCATTTGGTTTAGATCAAGTGTAACAAAGATATTGAACACATTGAGCTTCATTCATCATCCTGCTGTTACTACTTGCTAGCAAGATCCCCTCTTTTTATTTCACTCACCCACTGCATGGTATCTTGCAATTACTCTTTTTATGTACTGCTAAGGTCAAGTCAGCTGTACTTTCCGTGTTAAACCCATGTGGATAGATTGTTACTCATGCATCATTTGGTTATTGGTAGTATTGACATCTTTCTTATTTTTGTTTCGGTGCAGATCCAAGACAACATTAACCTTTTCACTCAAGCTCGAAACAATATCCTCACCATCTTAAATGAGTATGTTGTGGTTCATCCTTCCCCCTCTCACTGGATATGCATGTGTGTATGCTTTTATGCAGTGAATATATGTAGTGAAGCTTATGCCATCTCTTTAGCATAAATGAATTTTATTTGCAGTGAGTGATACTTGCTTCTATTAAGTGGTACTTTTGCATGCATTGTCATCTAGTTTTGCTCAAACTTATGTAATCTGTTTGCATTATGTATGGCTTGACTTTCAACTTTTATAAGCATATCGTGAATGTCTTCAACTCCTCTTGATTGTCCATATTGGATAATATGTCTTGTTGCAGCTGGGTTTAAAATGAAAATTCTCTAAAATTGTGAAAGATGAACCATGACTTTGCATTGTAATTGAAAACATTACGTGAAATGACTTTCGAGATTAGGAAGAAACTTGCCACTCTCATACTTAACCTGAAAGATCCCAAATCATTGGTCTTTTACAGATCTGTTAATAAAGTATTTGCTTGTGCTATATGCTAAACATGAATCTTGAATGAATGATTTTTTGATCTCCTTCAACCAAAATGTTTTGCTTTAATATATGTCAACTTATAAATTGTGGAGAATAATACTTGACGATGCTGTCCTGTTTTAGCCTTTACTGTAATTCTACTCGTTTTGCTATTTCAATGCATGCTAAGATGAACCATTTCTTGCAGTCTGAATGACATGCCAGAAATAATGAAGCAGATGCCACCCCTCCCTGTAAAGCTAAATGACGAGCTTGCCAGCTTAATCCTTCCGTCTAGGCCACCCTTGCCAAACAAATCATGAGATCCTGGTTTCTATAGGGCTTGGGCTATCGATAGATGTTTCTTAGAGTTTACTGAAGTTGAGATCCTCTGGATTACTTAGATAGCATAATAAAATAGTGAATCTAGTCTAGTTATTCCTCGTGGAAATATGTATCAAGATGAGTTCCTTTGGGCTGTTAGGACTCTCCATTTGTTTACATTAGTTAATTCTCTTTTTATAGTATGTAGTTTTGTGTTTGATGTTGATTTATTTTAGCTAGCTGGGTTAGCATGTGCATATAGTTGGAGTAGGAAGGATTGCTGTTTCTGTAAATTAATTGATGCAAATAAGTTAAATCCACTGTTTTTGTTGCAATGCACAATTGTTACGGACTAAAATTCTTTCCCTGGCAAAGAGACGAGAAATAGGAGAAAATGGGCAAACTCCTCTTTTCCCTTCTTGTATATGGTATACTAATGAGGGGTGAACATTGTAAAGTTTTCTTTTTCTCCTCTAAAGTTATTTGGAGCAAATAATTATAAAGTTTGGTTGGAGCAGTTGAGGATTAAAGCATCTATAAAAGATAGCAATGAACAATGGAATAGTTGATCAAAGATAAAAGTCACTTGGTGATTTAAAGCTTTTGACTTTGGTAATCCAAATGTCACTATTTGCATGATCAAGACTGATATATTCTCTTCTTCCTTTTTTTACAAAAAAAAAAAGGTTTATATTGAGAAACTATTAGTTATGTCCATTTATAAGTTGTTTATTATAAAAATTAGTCAATTAATATTAGCCAATTGTAGCAAAGAAAATATCAAATTTTTGTTTTCTTTTGAGGGAGTGTTATTAGAATAGATTGAATACATCTTAAGGAGTTTGAATCTCAGTTTTGGGATGCTTTGGTGGAGTTTTGAGGTGGTTTGAATTGAATATTCGAAGTAGAATATGAACATGAAAAAAAAAAATACATGTATCACAATGTGTATCATCTGTGTATCATATATGTATCATATTTATTCAAATGTGTATCGCATGTATATCTATGTATACTTATGTTTGAGATACATACGTGATACAAGTTTGATACATGTATCATAGAAGAATCTATACTTGATTTTAACTACGAATTTTGATATCAAACTAGTTCAAATCACCTCCAATCTTGCTCAAATTTGGTATATTGCCTCATCTATATATTATCAACGAATTCCAACCATACCACTTGAAAAAAAATCATTTTTTAAAGATATTTTATATTATTGGTAGTGAATTTGACTCTAAACTAGTCTAACTCGCCTTCAAACTTCCTTAAATTTTGTATATTGCGTCATCTATATATTTACAATGAATCACAACAATACCCGTTGAAAAAAAAAACTTTTTTTGCCTATATTTTTTGAATGTTATATATCATTAGTAATTGTTTTGGCTATTTAAGTAGCATTGACTAAAATGGCTAGTTATTGGTAAATATTGTCTTTCTTTGGTACATTCCCGTAAGATAAACTACCTAAATTGTCATTCCAAAAACAATTTCAACCAAAACTAGCCCAAACAAAATATCCACCAAAAATAACCCAAATGTCATTTTGTAACACATGTCTATTTTGCTCAAACAGAAAGGCAGTTTTAACTTTTGAGACACTTGACTTAAGCAATATTGCAATAGTTTAATTTCTTATAGTTGAAATTCAGAGAATCGAGCATCTTAATTTGATTTAGAAATCACTATTAAACCTTTATTTTTTGGGTTAGATCGAAGAATTAAGCTGAAAACTCCATGGACAACCATTGAAGTTTGCTTAAGCTTGTATTAAAAAATTTGAGTTTTCGAAATTGGAATTTTCGAGTGAGTGTTATTGGAATAGATTAGGTATATCTTAAGAAACTTGAATCTCAATTTTGGGACGATTTGGTGGAGCTTTTAGGAAGTTTGAATTGAAATTTGAGCCAAATTCGAAGCACACAAGATAAACATGCAAGAAGATGATATGCATACGTCTCTGTATATGGATTCAATTATATGAACAGAGTTATTGACATGGTGGTACATTCCGTTGGGTTAAGGTGATTATGGTACTGTGAGATACTTTATTGAGATATATGAGCAGATTAATGGTTCTGATTATTGAGCTATTATGATATCGAGACTTGGATACGGATCCGTCCCCCCGGAGTCAGGTGATCCCATGTTACTTGGGCCCTGTGAGTGTCAGACACACTAATTTTGTTTGTGAGGGGCATTTATGGTTAAAATATCATGGTATAGCCAGTTTTCACACTGGTCAATGAAAAATAGCCAGCGTTTATCAAGTCAACGAAAAATAGCCACTATTTTGCTGCAACAGGGACCGGTCCAGTATAATATACGGGAGTTCTGGTGCATTTGTGTACGAACTCCAGCATATTATGCTGGACCGGTATACTTTGCTAACTCCTGTAAAATTTGCGGGAGACTGGAGCACCAGTGCTCCAAACTCCAGTATATTATACTGGACAATTATACTTGCTGGAACTCCCGTAAAATTTGCGGGCGTATTTTTCCGGATTTTGAACAGTGTTTTCGCTCAGATTTAAAGTGGCTAAATTTCGATGACTTTTGAAACTTGGCTATTTTTCAACGACCAGTGGTAAATCTGGCTATTTTTGAATTTCTCCCGCATTTATGCCAGGAACCCGTACATTGTTGAGTGTGTGTGTGTAAATTGGTACTAATTATGTGGAAAGGTTGAGTCTGAGCATGCACACATATCATGCACTCACGTAGAAGCATTTCCTTACACGCTATTTCCTGTATATTATTTATCTTAGGTGAACTCGGACTATAGATTATGCTTTGATCATTAAATCTGAGAAGCATGGAATTTATTTTCTTTATGATTCATATTACTGATATTCACTGTTGTTGGACTGTTCCTTCTCTTTATTTACACTTATTAATGATTATCTAATTATAGAAGTAGGTATCTTCTTAGTCAGAGCCTTATCACTACTTATTCGAGGTTAGACTTGATACTTATTGAGTACATTGGGTTGGTTGTACTTATACTACACTTCTACATATTTTGGTGCAGATCCAAGCATTGATACTAGTGAAACACAACCAGATGCTTAGCTACTAATTTTAAAGACACACGGTAGTGTTGCTAGTTAGACCGCAAGCCTTTGAAGTCACCTTATTCACATCTATTTACTATTATTTGATTTAGATAGTACTGTACAACTTGTATTTTGCTACTCTTAGAAGCTCACGTACCTAGTGACACCAAATCCGGGATTGTTGTGTTGTTTTGTACTTCTTATTTTGATCTAGACTTATCTATGACATTGATCTTGTTTAGACTTATAATATCCATGCTAGTGATTTATTTAGAGATTATGATTGTTGGCTCGCATAGCCGGCAAGTTAGGTGCCATCATTGCCATTGGTGGAATTTGGATCATGATAGACTGGTATCAGAGTCTAAGTTGCATAGGTCCATGAGTCATGAGCATGTTTAGCAGAGTCTTGCTTATCGGCATGGAGACGTCTATACTTATCTTTGAGAGGTTTTGGGATAATTAGGAAACTTCACTCTCTTTCATTCTCTATCATGAGACTTTGTTTCATCCTGAATTCTAAATCTTATTCCTCTATTTTTCTCACAGATGTCGAGAACACGTGCATCAGCCACAGCCGAGCAGGAGCCAGTACCCCAAGCCGGAGCCATGAGAGGTAGGTATCGGGTAGGGCTAGGCTCAGGACAAAGCTCGTACAGTAGCACCTACCAGAGGTGGAACATTCGCAGCGGCTCGTGGACGTATGTAACGACCCAACCAGTTATTTTGAGCATTAGCATTCCGTTTAGTGGTTTTAGGTCTTGAGTAGCTTCACATGATGTGTTATGCCTTGCGTGTATGGTCGGTTTTGATTTTTGAGCGATTCGGGATTTATTTAGAAGAATGATTCTCATGTTAGAAGCTTTAAGTTGGAAGAGTTGACCAAGTTTGATTTTTGTGTATTTGACCTTGGATTAGAATTTCGATGGTTCCGTTAGGTTCGGATGGTGATTTTGAACTTGGGAGTATGCCTTAATTCATATTTTGATGTTTCTATAAGGTTTCAGCTCTATTTAGTAAAAGTTGGCAATTTGAAGGTTTGGAAAGTTCATAGGTTTGATCGGGGGTTGACTACGATATTATCGGGATCGAATTATTGTTCTGTAAGTTGTAATAGGTCTGTTATGTCATTTGAAACTTGTGTGCAAAATTTGAGGTGGTTCTGAGTTAGTTGGACGTGTTCGATGTAAGTTTGGAATTTAAAATTTTAAAATAGTTCATTAAGCTTGATTTGGAGTGTGATTCATGGTTTTAATTTTATTATGTGGGATTTGAGGCCTCGAGTAGATCTGTATTATATTTTGGGACTTATTGGTTTGTTCGTACAGGGTCCCGAAGGGCTTGGGGAAGTTTCGGGATGGTTTCAGATCATTTTCTTTCATGTTTGATTGCTGGTTTTTCCATGTTTTCTGGTGCTGAGGGTGTTCATCACGATCGCGTGAAGAGGGTCGCGATTGCGCAGTGTTTGGGAGCTGGCTGAAGGTTTATGCAATGCGTACGCGATAGGTGGAGCATATTTGCGTAGTGCTGGGATTGTTGTTCTTCGTGTTCGCGTATAGGGTATCGCGTTCACGGTGTGTTGGGGGTCAGAGGTCAGCTGAGGTCGCGTCCGCGACTGTTCATCCGCGTTCGCAGAGCTTAGGGCTAGTTGTCCATCGCGTTTGCGTGCATCAGGCTGCGTTCGCGAAGCATTCCTAGGGCAGCGTTTCATTTAGTGCATTGCGATCGCGATGGTAAAACCGCGATCGTGTAGGGTACTACTAGGCAGCGCATATAAGTTGTTAATTTTGGACTTTGAGCTCATTTTATCATATTTTGAGATTGTGAGCTCGAATTTGGGTGATATTTTAGGCAACTATCTCCACTTGGATTGGAGTAAGTATTCTTGACTCTATTTGGATTATTATTCATGATTATATCTTCGGTTTTGGCATTTGATTGATGAATCCAAAAGAGAAATTGGGGATTTTATCAAAATAATTCTAAAGTGAATAATTGGGTTTTGAACATCGATTCAGAGTCGGAATTGGATGAAACTAGTATGGTTGGATTCATATTCGAATGGATTGTCAGAATTTGTGAGTTTTGTCAAGTTCCGAGGTGCGATCCCAGGTTGACTTTTTAGTTGACTTTGAATATTTGGCTAAAGATTAGACCTTTATCATTTGGGTTTGATTCCTATGGCATTATTTATGTTTTGAGTTGCTTTTGGCTAGATTCAAGATGTTCGGAGGTCGCGTAGGATGGTATTTCTAGAGTATTGTTTTGGC